GATTAGTGATCTACGCTGTTCCATTCACAGTGGATCCGAAATTAGTCAGATGTTCCAGCGGTATTTCCAGTTGAAGTATTCCCATAGAGGCCGTAGAGTTTCCTCGTTGCTGTCATTTGCCGCAAAACATCTGAAAACATTAGAAGATTGTTCCAGGTACATTAAAATATCCATATACTAACCACTTGTCTCTAAAGATGGCTTGAAATCAGAAATAAGTAAAAGTAACAAATGAACTGCTATCTAATTACGAACTCGCTTGTAGACGCGGCAGGCACTCGATCGTGCTACATTAAAAAATCCGAGCTATGGAACTGGATCAAACTGGCCGACATTCTTTAGATAATTTTCAATTTTAATGCGCTTCTTTCTTTGTCTGTTTTATATGTTCCATCGTCGCTATTCGAACTGCCGACCACTAAATTCTGCACGGTATAATCGCATAATTTGTCAAGCAGTAGAAAACACGTCATTTTTTGGGAGGATGTCGTGCATACTGCACGCTTTGGCGAAAGGTTACCAAGGTTACAAATCCAATTTCGGATTTCGCGTTCCTTTCGACCGCGAAATCTGGCAAATCTAGGATCAAAAATCCGTTTTTGGATTCGCGGAAAGGAACACACCCTAAGTGTATGTTGTTCTCAACTCCTCAGATGTCGTCTTACCATTCTCTGGCTGAACGTCCTATACATTTATCTGTAGGAGATAAACCCCTCGAGCGTGTTCACTCTATTAAATTACTTGGGGTTCACATGACTGACACCTTGACGTAACATGATCATGCCAAGCATCTCGCCTCATCTTGTTATCGTGTCCTAGCTGCGCTGAGGAAAATCAAGAACTTTACAAACTACCATCTTAGAAAACATTTAGTTGAATGTCTGGTTCTATCTCGCCTAGACTTTAATGATATAATCTTCTATCCAATTACTGATTGCCTTTTAAAAAGGTTACAGCGCATCCAGTTTGCAAGGATCAGTAAAAACAGGGAATCCTGTCTCGACGTTATTCTCACTAACGTCCCCGCGTTTGCCAAAGACTCGGATGTCATTCATACGGGTCTAAGCGACCATGATCTCGTATATACGCTTCTGAAAACCCGACAAATGCGATCAAAGGCAGAAACCATAACTAAACGATCCTTTAAAACTTTTGATAAGGATTCATTTCAAGCTGATTTATCAACAGTGCCTTTCTCTGTCTCATACGTGTTTGATGATCCTGACGATGTATATTGGTGTTGGCATCAACTCTACGATCAAGTTCTGGATGCTCGTGCGCCCAAGATAACAGTCAAGAAACGCCCGTCACCGGCTGGAGTATTTATAACAGATGAAATTCGGAAGACAATGCGGGAACGAGATAAACAGAAAAAGCGATATTACAGATCCAGGAATCTTCTCGAGTGGGAAAAATATCGTGTCTTAAGAAACAAAGTTGTCATGCCCAGTATGAGAAGAAAAGCTGTACAGGACCACTTCAAAACACTTTGTAAGGAGAAATACGCAGATCAAAGAAAATTCTGGAACACAATTAGACCGTATATTAATTCACGTAAGAAAAAGAACAATAGCCGTATTGTTCTTAAGGAGAACGATCAGATAATGCGGGAGCCACGTGAAGTTGCAGAAACTTTGAACAATTTCTTTTCAAACATTGTCGGCACTGATAAAACAACTGAACGCATGAAGGATTTCACACATTTTCCACACGACTCCGCCAGCGGCCAGATCACCCTAAATTATACTAACCCCATAGAAGTGAAGGAATCATGTGTAACATGAAAACAAATAAAGCCATTGGCCATGATCTTATTCCCGCGAGGGCAGTGAAAGATTCTGCTGAAGTGTTGTGTGAGCCGTACTGCACTCTCTTTAATTATATTCTGGACGTTGGAAAAATCCCTAAACAGTGGAAAAAGGGCGAAATAACTCCAGTGTATAAGAAAGACTGCAGCCTGTCCAAGGATAATTACAGACCTCTCACCATTCTTCCATCTTTGTCAAAAGTCTTTGAAACGCTCGTTCATTCAAGAGTCAGCCCCCGGTTCAGAAATATTCTCCACAAGTTCGCGTTCGCTTATAGAAAGCATCACGGTTGTGACACGACCCTGCTCAATCTTACGGAGGAATAGCGAAGGGAGCTGGACGACAGGAAAATAATTGGCCTTGTGTCTATGAACTTGTCGAAAGCCTTCGACTCTCTGCCACACGATCTCATTGTGAAGAAGTTCAAAGAATATGGTGCTGACGAGAGAACTGCTAATATCATTGAGGATTATTTCTCTGATCGCCAACAACGAGTGAAAGTAGCTGGAGAATATTCGAGCTGGAATTATATTTCCAGAGGGATTGCCCAAGGATCAATCCTCGGGCCTTTGATATTTAATATTTTCATCAACGATCTCCTATTCATCGTGAAAAGATGTAAACTCTCTAGCTGCGCAGACGACACGCAAATTTTCTTTGCTCATAATGACTATAGAGAAGTTGAGAGTGCTATAAACTCTGATCTCGAGCTTGTTGATAAATGGTATGATGAGAACGGTTTGAAAAGGAACAATTCTAAGTATCAAGCTATTGTGATGGGAAAATCTGACGCCACACTTGATTTCAAGTGTGAAAATTCCAGTATCCCAGTGACTAAAGAATTTGAGATGCTTGGCATAACGATAGATAACAAACTGAAGTTCGACAATCATGTTGCTAAAATATGTAGGAAAGTTTCACAGCAAATAGCTGTTCTTAAAAGAATGAAGAAAATGCTTCCCTTAGAAACAAGGCGCGACCTATATTTAGCGTTTATCCTTCCTCACTTCAATTATTGCAGTGAAACCTGGAATTTTTGTAGTAAAAGTGCTGCAGACAAATTGGAAAGGTTAAATGACCGCGCGATCAGGTTTGTTTTCAGGGATAAGTACACAAGCTACTCGGAACTTCTCAACGCATTAGGTCTCTCATCTTTAAAACAACAAAGATTAATTAAAATCACACTGTCTATTTTTAATGCCGTCCACAATTCTTTAGCGCCCAAAAGTATACAAGACCTGATAGTTCATAGGAAGAACGTTAGCTACAATTTAAGAGGTGACTATATCCTCTCTCTACCCAAGCCAAAGTCTATTACATATGGCTTGAACTCAGTCCGTTATATTGGTCCGAAACTCTGGAATTCAATTCCGAACACGTTTAAAAATATAACGAATTTTAAGTCTTTTAAGAGATCCATTAGCCAAGTTGACTTAGTGCAATTTTTATAATTTCGACGCTTTTTTATTGAATTTAGTATTTATTTAGATATAAGATATACTTATTAAGATTTTATTGTTATAATTTTAATTATAGAATATTCCATATCTAGTTTTTTAACTCTTAATTTTATTGTGTTTGTGGAATACCTGTAAATTAGCTGGCGTGCTTTCACTGACCCGATTTCGGTTCCGTATGTGAAAGCACACCATTGTTGTAGCTAAGTGTATTTTCACAATAAACTCTTATTGTATTGTATTGTACTGATATTAAACCGTTATTATTATTATTATTATTATTATTATTATTATTATTATTATTATTATTATTATTAGATGTACGGAGACCGATACGAACTCATACTGGTCTGAGTTAGTCCCGTTCGACGACTATCCGGACTTCAAACACGATCGCATGAAACGCGATTGTACAGCCACAGTCGCACCACGAAAAATTCCGGAAACAAGGTCAGACATAATTCATCTTGATCCGCTCCTTGTGTTTCAACATGAATAGATCAGTACTACAACACTCTTTCCTTTTTGCTATTACAGTCAACTATCCGTAAGGCTACCACCCAAAATGCGAATTTAGTGGGTCACTTACGAAAATCAAACCGTTTATCAATTAAACAAATACAACAAAGCCTGGCTGAATACAAATTTAGCCAAAGCACCGACTTTATTTACCGTAGAGTTCCAGAAATTGCTTGAAATATTCTGAGAAAAGTATCGCTTCAATTCACCGCAATTTTTTACCTTCACTTGCATCCATACTCTTCGCTTGCAAAAACGTGATTTCTTTACCAAACAGGATTTGGCCCGGGCTTTAAGTTTTCCACATCACACTTTATTTGTGTTCTGAACCTGAACATTCTTTTGTTAATTCTTTCTGAACGAAAGAACCTCGATTTCGAGGGCCGTACTTGAAAGTGGCATGTAGCATTTTCGCCAAGCATGGTCTGAAGATTACTATCGAGGCCAATAAGAAGGTAGTAAACTTTCTTGACGTCACACTTAACCTGGCTAACGGTAAATACTTGCCATACGACAAACCAGGAAACATTCCACTGTACGTCAACAAGAAATCTAACCATCCACCCCGCATCATCGAAAACATCCCAAAGTCCATTAACAAAAGGCTGTCCGAAATCTCTATAGATGAAGATTGCTTTAGCAAAGCGACGCCTCTTTATCAGAAAGCTCTCGATGATAGCGGGTACAAGCACAAACTTGCGTTTTCTGTTCCTACGGCACAGTCTCCGAACTCTCGAAGAAGGAACCGCCATGGAGACATCATTTGGTACAACCGCCCTTTCAGCAGAAAGTGGCTACTAACGTTGGACGATCCTTCCTAAAGATCCTCGACGAAGAATTCCCGAAGGGCCATGCGCAGCATAAAATCTTCAACTGGAACACAGTTAAGATCAGTTACAGCTGCATGCCGAATCTAAAGTAAAAAATTGATGGCCACAACAAATCCACCCTACGGAAAACAAACGCCGTACCACCTAAAGCTTGCAACTGCCGTCAACCAGCTCATTGCCCTCTGGACGGTAATTGCTTAAAATCAGCCGTGATCTACCAAGCCACAGTAGCAACGGAGGACAACAGGCCAGCCGAGACCTATGTAGGCCTTACTGAGAACTCTTTTAAGACCCGATACTGGAACCATAAGTCTTCTTTCAGAGATCCAAACAAGAGACTCAGTACGGAACTCAGTAAGCACATCTGCCACTTGAAAGACGCGATAATGCGCATGCGTGCCGTTTGTCTCTTCAGAATAAATTTGTCGGGTCAACACTAAATTCGAAATCGCCATTACCGGTACAATCATTGAAAATCCTTCGTTTTATTCGGACATCCGTCGCTTTGGCTGGTCTGGTTATACTTCGGTAGTGGTGATTAACGTGTGGTTGTGTCGTTTAACTGGTTACGTTTTAAGAAGACGCAAAAAATAATGTTTTGATCATGGAGGTTCAGAAGAGCATCGTGGCCGTTCTCAAGAGTCTCTGGAGATAGAGAAGCTTAGCCTATAGATCTGGTATGGTTCTAGGAGTAGTGTGTGGCATACGAAAAGAATACTCGACACTTGGAAAGTGGTTAAAGGCATGAGTTCGTTCAACTTTGATTTGATTTTTGACTCCGACTTGTAGTTATACCGCAACAGGCCGCGCGATCTTCACCGATCTGGTACTCTTGAAATGTTCCTTGTATCTTTGCTTTACGATCGGATATGTTTAAGAATTGATGTTTTTAAAATAAATTATTGCCTGAATATTCTCTTTACTAGTATAATCTACAATGAGGGACAAAAGTGTTGACACACTTCCGTAGAATGGCCCCTTTTTCCATAGTGGATATACTTATCCCCTTCCCCTGTCTACCCCAACCCCATCCCCCCAAAATCAATGTTGAATTTTGGACCCTCAAGTCTTTTTTTTACTTCAGACAACATTGATTCGAGGGGTCGGGGGATCTACGGCGTTTAAAAGAAATGAAATAATAAATGAATTAAATGTTTGTTAAAAGCACCCGTTTTAAACAAGTGTGTCAACTACTTTTGTCCGTGATTGTCTGAAATATGTATCTGTGTTTTCCGGCTAGATTTTTGACACTGCTGAATTTTTGTCCGATGACGTTACTCTATGGGCCAAATTGTTTGTTTTTAAACATCAATTTATAGAGTTTCGTCCTGATTTGTAGTATACGTAGAGTAAAATGTACGAAGCGTTTCTCATTACTTAATCTTGTACTCCCGCGCGCGTTCCTGATACCCTGTCGGGTCGAGACGAAATGATTTGTGTTGTGATCAATGCCGTTGCGGATGTAATGTTTTCACAGGTATTATCAATAGTGGAAAAAGGATGGAAACATTAAGGTACAATGAAAATTGTTCTGGTAAATGGTTAACTTAAGCGAATGAAGTATTGCAGAGTAACAGAGGGGACATGCAATATTTTTGACATTAGGCTTTGCCATTAGTGAAAGGACGTGAACAATATACAGGTTATGAACCTCATAAATGATGGGCCAGCCGTTTGTGCTGTGCCCTATATATAGATGTGTTTTTTATTTTTTTGAGACCTTTCCTAACCTAACTGATCCAAACCTTTAGCGTAGGTAGGCGTCGAGGTTAGGAATGTACTTTTGTAATGATTTTACATGACCGCCTGCCATTTATTCAGTGGCATGATTGTTTATTGATGTTGGACGGACAACTATTTCATTTCCCAGCTCGTAAATCACATAATGCCAAAGAAATTGTTTTCAAAATAGACACACCAGTTTGTATCATCGCCAAAACAGCAATTACTTTGGCCCAGAAGTTCACCTGATGACAAACAAAGCGGGATAACACGTGATCGATGACGGCCGTGCGCTGGAAAATTTTCCTTTTTTATGCGCTAATTCCTCACAAAAGGTAAAAGAAGATTCCGCTATGTAGAAAGTGCTTCGCAATACGTATTCTTGGCGAGAAAAATTCCAGCGATGTGGTGCAAATAAGGAGTTTCAACGGTTAACCATGAGAATACATATCGACATTAAGAGGTCATAACAGACTAATGTTACTTTCCGTTTGCCGAAACGTGGTTAGCCGTTGTAACACGAAGGAAGCAGTGTTTTCCTCAGTTTGAGCTGTCGTTTTCTTTGAGAGTCAAATACAGTTCACGTTTCAAAGCTCTCTTTTCATTTTCTCTGCCGACAATACACAAAAACACAGTGTTTCGCTTGAGAAATGCGGTCGAAATACACAGACATATGCGCTTATGTCACGCTATTTGCGTTGCGTTATCATGTCACACAGGGTGTCACGAGGTGGGATTGAAAGTAATTGTTTTCGAGTACACTTGCAATGTTTGCTACGCTGTCCTTAGTTTTTTATTGAATTGGCCATGAATTTACCTTCACTTTTCCGTAGGTTTGATATTGAACGCAGTGACGGCCGCTCCTCACTAACGCTCCATATTTCGGTGGCCGGCCAGTGACTATCCCCACTACGTGTCAATCCTTACCCGATCCGTGATTGTTTGGACCTTAACAATAGGATAAAGTGAAGAACGAGAAATATCCACTTTATTAAAAATATTTTCAGTACGCATCCCCTTGAAATTCATCAAAAGTTGTACATAGGCGCGAGTTTCAGCGTCAGTTTTTAGCTTGTAAACCATATCGACGTTAATTCTGGATATCGCAGCCCTTTTATTACGTCATCGCGTAATTCGAATTGGCCCTATAATTCGGTCGTGAATAAGTCTATGTCACCCCCACCACCAATAACATAATTATGTCATTGATTCCTTTAATTTCAGTTAAAATCAGTGTTATACACGGCTCAACTTGTGTGCAGTAGCACAATTTTGCATTCAGACAATGAGGGACAAAAGTGTTGACACACTTCCGTAGAATGGCCCCTTTTTGCATAGTGGATATACTTATCCCCTTCCCCTGTCTACCCCAACCCCTTCCCCCCAAAATCAATGTTGAATTTTGGACGCTCAAGTCTTTTTTTTACTTCAGACAACATTGATTCGGGGGGTCGGGGGATTTATGGCGTTTAAAAGGAATGAAATAATAAATGAATTAAATGTTTGTTAAAAGCACCCGTTTTAAACAAGTGTGTCAACTACTTTTGTCCCTGATTGTGGTTTCTTTATGTGTGCTACTCGATAACATTTGTTTTGCGGAACACTGACCCGATGAATGAGCTTGTTCATTTGCTGATAAGCAATTGAAATTTATGCTCAATTGAGGATAATCTTTATACTCATTCGTTGTGTGTTTTTGTCACCGGTCAGGCGCTATTTGTAGGTATTTCTGGGTTTATATAAGGCGAACTGAGAGAACAGTAATAAGATGTTTGTTTACAAATTTTGTTTGCCGATCGGTGACTGTTTTGTTAGCGTGGGTACGACCTCGTAAAAATACACTTTGGTAAATGTTTCTTTCATAGTAGGACAGGGTTCTAAATCTTATTCTTATCGGCCGCAACATATATCTGAGGAGTAGCAAAGAATAAACTTGAATTATGGGGATAAATAAAATCAAACCAAATGCCCGAAAATACTCTCGCGTCGCGAACAATTAATTTGAATTTTGTAAATTTACTTGCGTGCATCTGACTCGCTTCCGATTGGCTGAAAAACAATCAGCTACTGTCAGAACTCACACATGCGCATTATCGTGAACCAGTCCCTTTAAAGCAAGCCGCGCCGTTTAATCCCGCTTCAAATCGCTGTAATTTGTGCCTGTGGGAAAAATATTTCATTTTTTGCAGAGCCGATCTGGCGAGCTTGAAGAAACGAAATGAACTTGTAACTTCCTGCAGGCACGCGTAAATTCCTTCTTAGCTGCTTTACATCTTCCGTTGGCACGCAATAGTTTTCATTCAAATTCCGCGCGCTTCGGGAACAGGCAACCCAGGTTGGTCACGTACGCGACCTGCATTAGTCTGCTGCGAAGCCACGCTGCGGAGCCTGGTGGCTTCGCAGCAATAAGTGGATAATTTTTTTAACGGCTAGATAGACATTTTTTAAAATTTAAGATTCTTGAGATTAATTTACACGTGAAAGTCTCTCATTGTTCAAGGGTATTGTCTCCAAGCTTTATTTTCGCGTGGACAGAAGTAACTAACAATGCACTTGAAATATGCAAAAATGCTAGCTACTGTTGTCCACGAAAATATGGAACTTGGAGACAATACCCCTGAATAATGAGAGGCTCTCACTTGTAAACACAAAATTTCTGACAAGTTGTAGCCCTCATTTTGCTGCCTGACGATATATCAAGAAATCACCCTCATTTACAGAATGCTGTTTGAGAAGTAAATGATGAAATGGGAAGGCAACATTCATATATCAAATAGAAAGTATTGTGAACTTTCTACCTAATTAAATAACTGGTCAATTCAAAACCCCTCCCCTCTGAAAAAAAGGGAGGAACTCAATAGCCATAAGGGGCCTATAGCCTGCGTGGCGAGCGCTAAAAAGGGAAGGGAGAGAGAGGGAGAAAAGCGCAAATTTCCCCTCCCTCTGCTTAGCTCCCCTTTCGACGCCTGAGGCTAAGTGGATTAATTCTTTCGCCCCATATGCGGAACATCAGCATTACACAGATTCTTTCTAGATAACCTGCGATCAGGGTTTTTTTTTTTTTCAAACAAAAAGGGAAGAAGGAAACCTGATCCCAGGTTACTTTCTAGACGACTTCCTGTGTTCAGTCTTCCTGAAGGATGGAGGCCCGCGTACGATTCCTAATCGTCGATTCACGTAACATTCTACAATTTTATACAGAGTGAGATGCAACAATAATTCAGTCTTGATTAATCTAATTGTGCTCAGTGATTCAAGAACCACCAAAATGGCGAATCAGAGACTATAATTAGAAAATGATGTTATGAAAGTTCGAACTTCCGCTGTATTATTTTACCATAATTACTTGTGAAAGAATTGTTACTCCAAAGATAAAAAATAATGATATAGTTATATCAGGGGCACCCAACGACAATTTTTGGAAAATATCTGTTCGGAAGACGATAGATCTAGAACTCTCGGAGCATTTGTTGTATTAATAATTTCTTGCTTGCCTGCCTCTCTTATAGCTTCCTAGGATGGGAAGATGATGGGATGCTATAATTGCCCATTTTGATGGGGGTTTTTACCCTAGAAAGGTCACCTAGAATTTTCGGGAGCCCTTTTTCTGGCTGAAAGTTTCGAAAAGGTAAGTTTTGATCCCCGGCTATAATTTTCGGATCACTAGACTTTCAGCTAGGAAATGCGAACAGATGAAACATTTTTAGGGGATAAATATATCTTCCGTTTAAAACTAAAACACGGTTAACAATGCTATGTTTAAGTGGTTTTGAACTATATTCTAGTTGGGTGCCCCTGGTTATACTACATTTATATGGTGACCCACAACTGTCACGGCAAAACCAAAAACCTCACCGCGAAAACAAAAACATCACGGCAAAACCAAAAACCTCACGGCAAAAATAAAATACCTCACGGCAAAAACAAAAACCTCACGGCAAAACCAAATACTTCACAGCAAAAACAAAATAGCTTTGGTTTTGCCGTGGGTATTTGCTTTTGGCGTGAGGTATTTGGTTTTTGCTGTGAAGTATTTGGTTTTGCCGTGAGGTCTTTGGTTTTGCCGTGACGGCTTTGGTTTTGCCTTTTTGTTTTTTCCGTGAGGTTTTCGGGTTTGCCGTGAGGTATTTTGTTGTTGCCATGAGGTTTTTGATTTTGCCGTGACAGTTGTGGGCCACCGTACATTTACACTACCTGCTTAATGCACAGCAAAACAGACATCCGTAGCGAAAGGAAGTTATCGACAGATGACGTAAATATCCCTAGACCAATCAAAGTTCGGCTTTTAAAAACTGGATAAAAAGTATGATCATCTGAAGGGAGCTGTAAAGCGTTTTGTGGCTTGCGGAGTCAAGTGGCTCATTACTAGGCGCCATGTCTACTGAAATGATGCAGTTCGATATGGAAGAGATCTTACCAGAAACCAAGAAGCATGGTGTTAAAAATCGTTTGAACCGTAAATTCACTGTCCGATTGTGGCAAATTCTCGTTTTCTTGTTCGTAATGACAATCATTATTACTGTGACTGGTATTCTGGCCGCAAAGTTAGGTCCAGCGAGCCCATGCTACAAAATCTCAACCAAAGAGGATAGAGGTAACTTAACTTTCCTTCCACTTCGACAATTAGCATTTAGTGCTTCAATTCTGCACTCTTCTAGATTATTGAATTTACGTAATCGTGCAAGCAATCACATTCCTAAGACTACGAGAGAATTAGCAAGATATATAACTTTAAAAGAAAACCTCCTCAGGTCAGGATTTAGTAACAAAATGTCGTCACATGAGCGGCTTAGGCCGGTTCAGGAATTCTCAGCAGGCGTTTGCCGAAGACGTTAAAATCCCACGACCATTTGCCTCCCTTGCGGTAGGCATATGGCATTCTGCCGTAAAGATAGTTGATTACATATCCGGTCACAAGCAATTTGATGTTGCGTCCACTATTTCCAATTTTAAGAAAAATTCTCTCTAAAAATATTTCTACGTTTGGAGCAGTTAAAACAGAATCAGAGAACATTTGGATCTGTTCACGGTGAATTTATAAAAAGCAACAAAACAAAGAACATAAGCAAGATGCTGCGTTACTTATTACGGTTAATTTATTACAGCAATACCATATTCGGAAATATTAGCGGGAAAAATTAAGAGCGGATGTCTGTAAATATCGACCAGAGGTGGGAAAAATAAAATTTTTGAAATATCCCAAAAAAATTATGTAGACTACCCTAGGTATTCTAGTTATGAAAATATAAATTTTAGTTTCATTGGATAAATATTTTGGCGATACGGCGAATGCCAATTTCGGGCGATTGACGGCCTCCTCCAGACCGCTTTTTCGGGCCTCTAGACCGGGCTACAAAAAGACCACGATTTCAATCAAATTCAAGTATCATGCAACCCAAACAGCTTCTTATCGTATTAAACGGGTTTTAATACACATTTTGAGTGGTCATGTTCTTGAATTGATTTCAAATGGAATATTTTATGAATTTTTAAATATTTACAAAATTTTAAAGATTTTTCGCGAGCAAAATATTGTCAAATTTCAAAGGCCTAGAATCACATCCGATACATGATTTTAAACAGAAAAAGACATTCCACATTAAAAAGCAATCTCTATGCTTTCAAAATATGCTTTCAAAACTCTGGGCAACATATGAAATGAATTTTTGGGAACGCAAAGTTCACGGAGCATTTAAGTGTAATTTGACCTTTCTCACATGACCGATAAGAGGTTCGGAGCGACACAAATCAATCCTCCAACAAATGTTTCAGCCAAAATACGTTTAATTTAAGCAATCTCAAGTCCCACAGTGATACATAGATGTTTTATATACATTAGGTGGAAAGTTTCATACCATTTTTTTCAGCCGTGAATGAAGAACTCTTATCCTGGCCTTCAGGTGCATTTTTTGAACTCGCCTCGCCAATGTAAACATTTGGGTCAATTGAAGTTCTTAGCACGAAACAGCAAAGTTTTCAAAATCTACACCGATTATCTATCCTTTCTTAGTATATAATCAGGTCTACCATTTGTTTGTTTGTACCTAATGTGTCCTTGTTTGACTTCATTTCTGCAATGAAACTGAGACAAACCACAGCGAAATTCCCGCTCGCTCGACATGTCACGTGCCACGTGAAAGAGCCGTTTTAGACTCGATTGCGTTACGTAAACATGACGGCAGTGATTATTTCTGATTGTGTGAAAAAAGATTCCATCTCTAACCTACATGTCATAGGTATGCCATTGAATGAGCAGACAATCTCTTTTTTTTTTTTTTTTTTTTTTATCATGCAGTTTTATCAGCACAGACTTGTCGGTTTCCCGACGAAACCAAACAAAAATCCTTGGACCGGCTGAGGGCGAAAGAAGAAATGTCGAGGACGCACGATTAGAGAAAAGAAGAGGAGTCCTCCTCTCCCATTCGCGTGTTCCCCTTGCGCGGCCTAGAATGCTACGTAGGCTAAGCCAAACAGCGCCCGTTCCATAAATTCTAAAAAAAGGGTACAGCAACAATATTTAACGTCGCGATAACTCGTGACAGTGATAACTGATCAACTTGAGGTCAACGGTGCGCTTATTTTACCCCCCCCCTCCCTCTCTCTCTCTCCATCAATGCTCCGTTTTAAGGGCATTTAAATCTAGTCAAAGCTACACAGAAAGGATAGAAGTTGAAACAAGGATGTGATGTCACCGGGATCGAACTCGGGACCTCGCGCACCCAGGGCCGCGCACTAAACCAACTCTGCCACCCCTGCTGATTGCTTGAGCTGGATTACAATAATAACGATAATTATAATGTTAATACAGGTATTTCATAATAATAGTAATAATAATAATAATAATAATAATAATAAGGATGCGTCTAAGGATGCGTCCTCTTGGAATCGATTCCGGAAGGTCAAAAATAAAGTAAATCAGGAAATCAAGGCTGCTAAAAAGGCCTATTATAATAATTCTTTTAATAATTATGCCGGTGATCAACGTAAGACCTGGAAGACCATCAATGAATTGACTTCCCGCAAATCTAATAAAACAATAATAAATGAAATACAATATCAGGGACTAAAATCGAGCAATCAAGTAGGAGTTGCTGAATTGTTGAACACTTTCTTCATTGAGATTGGACCAAGGCTTAGTCGAAATGTTTCGAATGTTGATACCACCTACAAAGCGTTTCTTTGTGGAACTTCCAAGGAGTTTGTCTCCAAGGAAATAACATCTGCTCATATTCATTCTCTCCTTTCAAAAC